CCTAAAAGCAAAAAGCCAACCAGAGTCTTCCAGAGTGATTTCACAGCAGCTAGATGCTGTTTGGTAGATGGGTCTGAGATGCCACCTAGTGATTCTGATAGGACCACCCCAGTCCAACGATACCCTCCTTTTCCTGACTCAGCGAACAGGGATGCGTAGGACTGGTTTCCATGGCAACAGTAGACAGAGCGAGAGAGAGAGAGAGAGAGAGAGAGAAACACAGTGAGGCGGCTACACTCACATGACCATGTACGCCTACAAAGACATCCACTGAGAAACACACACACACACACAAATGGTGTGTTTGAGCGATACATATCGAAGATCACAGTTTAATAATGACTGTTTTTAATTCCTTGTTGGGAGCCCAAAGACTCATGAGGGTAGAGCATATACTCACTCAGCAAAAGTCAAGTAGGAAGAATCCATAGTTCTGAAGTACAAACAACTTACACAGAGATTCTTGCCCTCTGTTTAGCTTACAGCAGACTGCTCTGAACCATGCGGAAAGAGCAAGATGGGGAATAATCTTTCATATTTCAGACATCCAACTGGTGATCGACGTTGTGGGCAATGAGCTTTATTCCCACAGCTGACATTTGTAATTTAATGAGTAATTTAACAAGAGTAAAGTAACGTACCTGTCGGGTTGAGTACCATTTATCATTTCACGGATCCTCTACTGAAAATGTGTCTAAATTTTGAGCAATATGTACATATTACAATAATATAAGCCCACCATGGTTTGATGGCTAGTTGGATAATTATGACGAGTGTTTGGTCTTTTACAAGTTCTTCTTCATGCTTTCAAGTACCTGTTTAATCTTTTGAGTGAGATCTCTCACCCATAATGTCGTAGAACTGTCTTTTTTCATTTATTTCATAACTGCAACAGCCACAACCAAAGTTGTGACCCTAAAACGATCGCACACTTGCTAAGTACTGAACCATTTCCAAAGGCAGCTACACTACTCTTATTACATATGCATCATCAGCCTACAAGTATCTATTATTCAAACATCACATTTGCAACATTCAGGGGAATAAAAATGATACAGATAAAAGCAGTGACACCAAAAATTTCAATTTTTCAGAGTCCTAAATTGTTAAAATTAAGCTTTCTGGGAAACTAATGTCTCTTTCAGGGGAGCCGAACTCCCCATAGCTCCCAGGTATTTTAAACCCAAAACCTTTTAAATTTTGGGCACTTCATGTGCTTCTTTTATGGCCAAACGCATTAAAGCTTCCAATTATGAACCGTTTTAGTATTTTCCTCAAGTGCCTCCATAGAAGATTTGTCCTTGTTTAACAGATTTGAATATGAAAAACATTCCAAACAACAGATAATCCCCATTGTTTCAGCATTAACTCTTTGCTTTCACGGCTTGTCTGATTTTAACCGTCATCAGCATCCTAGTTTGTGTTTAAAATGTTCTCCTGTGCCTCAGTGCCAGCTGCTTCTGGTGCCACAGCGGCAGTTTCAGTGTCACCAGAGTACCTGCATGCTTGTGCTGCTTATCATCACATGGTGTGATGTCGGTCCGGGAATCAGGGGGAACAATAGCAACTTGGTGATTCATTCAAATTACATAGGAACATGATTTCCATAAATCGTAGAGCCCTAAGTTCTTCTTCTTCTTTGCAGAGTTTCTGCCAGTGGTTGGAAACCCTGTTGTGCAATGTGTGTGCGTGTTTTGTGTATGTGTGCGTGTCTGTTCTGCCACCAGCGGTGGTTTCAGTTGAACATTCTGTTGTTAGCAGCAGTGAAACTGACATAATTACATCCAGTCTTTTGTCAGATCTGGGACCAAACAAATATTGAGAGACATTGTTTTTATATTCTCCTAAAATGTCCTGGTTGGAGCCTTATCCGTAGATGCTCTTTGTAAGATGATTTGTGATCAGTTTAGTGCTAACCAAGCTAGCCATTATGTTAGCTCTCTAAGGCTAATATTGCTAATACAACATTCTGATGCTGCGTTCACACCAAACGCTGCACCAAATTATTTTCCTGCGAGCAGATTACATACAAAGTCAATGCAAAGACGGGAATGGACGCGAGTAAACGTAAATTTGTGCCAGGCGCAAGTTAAAATTGTTTTAACTGTGATGCTGTGTCGTGAAAGCCTTTCAGCGTTGAGATGCTCCTCCTGTCATCACCCTGCATGCTGTTGTTGAATCAGGAAAAAAATATTGTAGATTAATCCATCGAGAAAAACAAATATTTTAAAAGGTATTTGCTTGTCGTCTTGCAGAGACAACTAACACAAATCAATTCAGATTTTTTACAAATCGGCTTCAGTATGTAGTTATTTCGGCATCCATTTTTGTCTGTGTATTGCAATTAAATCGCAACAAAATCTGTTTATTTTGGGTTCATACAGCTGTAATAAACCACAATAAACCGCTTGATAGACACAGTGAATACAGCTCGATGAAATTCACGGAGATGAATGAACATGTTATGAACCCAGACAAGACGTCGTTTAGTTTCCCGGGATATCTGGGACTTCCACAACAAGTAGCACAAATGGTGGTTATTTCTTCCATGTTTGATAGCAGAAATAAAGGCTTGGTTGATAACAGCTTCTATGGAGATAACCCACTCCTCCTCTCCGACAAGTCTAGCGCGAATGAGGCGAATAACCACAAATGATCCCGCGAGTAATGCAACGCGACAATTCGCTTCGCGTTTGGTGTAGACGCAGCATGAGGAGCAGTTCACGGTCCACGTTTTTTGCACTCTCAAATAAACACGCGGAAGCTCAAAAGTGAGAGTGAGCACATTCGGGTGCGATGGCTGTGCATGATATCTCAAAAAAGTTATAGACAGATTGTAACATGGGCCACTGATGATGCTGAGGGAATATAGGCCCGGGGAGCCTCAGTATGCTCCAAATGAAGTCTGAAACCTCCTCCCCCCACACCTATCCAACATCAACATTGGAAGGACTGTGTCTGACAGTTTTTTTTAACTTTCAAAAAATAAAAATCACACCCACTTCAAACTGAATTGTGTAGGTGCAGAGGTGAGAAAGTATGCAGGGTTATAACTTCTAAAGCTTGATTCACACTTCACACAATTACTTTCAATCCCCCTTTTCTGTGTTCAACCGAGTGCAAAAACCATGAATACTTTCAAGGACGCTGTCTGAAAGTATGTGCTATTATCCAAAGTTGTATGACTGCATTGAGACGAGAAAAGACAGAATTTGTGAATTAAGCTCAGGGAGGCAGTGGGATGTAGCCGTGATTAGGCAAAAGGTATAAACACTTCATCATCCCCACCCTTCAGCTCCCCTTTCCATCACCCGTCCTCCAGCTCCATAGTCAGGGTGATAATTAGGAAAGAAGCTGATGCAGACAAACAAGTTTGAGCTCTTCCGCTCGTTTCCTACCTGTACTGTTGGCCAATGAAAGTTGAGATGCCGACGTATAAGGCGTTGGTCCAGTTGTCAGTTACCCTGAAGATCAGTGGTGGGTGGAGCTTATATCCCCAGGTGACGGCCTGTGGTTGGTCAGGTTCATCTCTGCCTCCTTGTAACCCCACCCACTGGGCCCCTGCAAGGCCTTATGGGTACCAAGCTTTGCTGAACATGTTTGAGTCGGTTTGTCGTTCGGTTAAGCAGTCAGTAGCGGTCTTCTCGATGAATCTTCTTGTGCCGTCTTCATGTAGGTTTCCTGTGCAAGCAGACAATAAAGAAAAAAACGTTTCTGTGAATCAATAGCCTTTTACTAAGCCCCTTTAATAACCCCTTAATAACAGTTGGTACAAGCCTTCTCTTCTACCTCACCACATGAGCAGAGTACAATAATGATGGTGGAAGAAATTCAAGGCTTGAATTTGTTGCTTTGTGCTGACTCCACCCCCATTTCCTTTTGTCACTTAAAAAAAGAAAATACTTGTCTCTCATCACCATTTACATAATCAGGATAAAACACGCATACAATCTCAGTGTGACAATGTTCGGCTGATGCTTTGTCACATCTGGGTAATAAAGTGACTGTGTTGATACTAATAGAATACAATAGCCGTCTTCAGTCAAGAGTAAAATGAAGGGTTATACTAATGATATTCTGCAGCTGCATCATGTGATTTATTTCATCAGCCCTCTGCATGCATGCTCCTTAGACTATGATACAGTTTTACAACACTGATCACTGACAATAAAAGCCTTGTCTGGTGGGATTTTTGCACTGAAAGTCAATTAGACTCAGTAATAATACCAATAAATCGTTGTGCAAGTCATGGATTTTGCTATTTTCTTCTGAAATAAATTATTTTACAAAGAAATTAAATTCAAAACTGATGTTCTTTTTTAATTAGGCGTAATATCCTATTCTATGCTTCGTGCCCCCTGTACTTCATGTTGGATATATTGCAGTTCTATAGGTTGCATGCAAAGTATAGGAATTTACACTTTGAGTTCAACATAGCTAGATCTAGATAGTGTGTTTGAATATATCTTAATTGTTCATGAGACTTTGACTCACTCTAGCTTAGACGTGGTCTCAACCCCTAAAGATCTTGGTCTTGACTACAATACTAACTTACACAAACTAGCATCTCTGGTCACACTACATGATGGTGTTATTTGACTGAAGATTGAGAATATTATTGAAACTGGACTCTTTACATTACATTATTGTGGACGACAACACAAACGACACACACACCACTTGTTTCCTTTCACATGTGTGAGGCGCTCCATGACTACTTGTGCCCTCAGCACAGAACTCACACGGCGTTCTTCCTTGTTTACAGTCAGTTCATTAACACCAAACTAAATCTCCACAACACAAAGGACATGGAATTATTGCTCGGTAACGTAAAATAATTGTTCACTCGTGGCCGAGATTGAACAGAAACTTGAACCGACGATGATATAACAACCACAGCTGCCTGTGCGTGTGTCGGTTTGTCTGTCCAAGCAATCCAAATGACACCCGATTAATGTGGGGATGCTTGTCACCATGGCGATGCAGCATGAGTCATAGTGACGCTCGTTATGGAGACAAAGGCCCGTGTTGAATGTATGATTATGATTAGAGAGAGAGATACCGGCACACACACAAGTATTGTACATAAATAAACTGTATCAAATAGTCACAGCCGACTCTCAGCTTCTCCTTTCCAACAGGCAATTCAACACTTGTCAATTATACAAAAGCCCCTTTGCAGCCTAAAATTGCATCTGTATACTCTCACTCTTCGGTATCTCTGTTACCAGCCATATCCTTTTGTTGTAACTATTTGTTTTGTTACTGCTGCTGTAGCAGTCTTCTCTTCTGTCATAGTGGCTGATGCAACCCGTCGCCTGAGGGATCCATTTTTTAATTCACGCTGGTGACTCTTCTGATTTTAAACATTATTTTACAGTCCTTGAAATCTCTCACAGTCATGGTATGTGTCATTTGTGATGAATAAAAATAAGAAGATGGGCTCAGGCCCAGGGGCGTCGTTAGGCCTATTTTAGGGGGGCTGAAATAGTTCTGGTTTGTATGTTTTCTCCCCCTTCAAATTACAATCCAATAGCCTATCATACTTAACGATATAAGCCCCGGGCACTAGGACCTTGGGGAGGCTGCTGCGCTGGCTTTCTCACTCTGCCAAGTAACGTCTCTCGTCAACGACAGCCAGGATTATAGCCAAGGAGTTTAGCTCAAAGTAAATGATGCACGGAGTGAAATTATAAGTACAGGTAGTTACAGAATGTGGCTATCTGTAGTTTTTAACGATTGTTACCTGCTTAAATTTAGGTTTACTTGAGGCAAATGAAAGGGAATATTGTAGTGGGCTATGTTATGTATTTTTTTTATCTGCCTCTAATGCTATCCTAGATCTAGTCCTATAGTGTTTTTCTCTGTACATTGCAATCCTAGTTGGACTTGATTATAGTGAATGCATTGGGTGCCTTCCATTTCAGCCCATCATACAATATTTATCATTCGATAATTAAAATGTACTTGAAATGTGTTTTTTTATTTTTGTTATTCATGTTTATTTCTCCATTGAATGGTATATTTGACACTGAACTAGTTCATCTTTATCTCAGTGATAGTGTCCAAATGAGCATAAAACATCACTGGTTTGTAAAAGCTACACGGACAACAAAATAGATGTAAATGTTGATCAAAATCTTATTCCCTTCTGCTCATAATAAAACAAGTAAACAACTCAAAAGTTGACACTGTCAGGTCCATTCTCCATCCATTGTGCGGTCCCTTTAAGAATTAGGATTTGGGAGTGAGGCGGATATGAAAGCTAGTTTATCTGTCTTTTGTGTTGTCAAATTTCACTATGACCCTGAAATTCTGTCTCTTGTGTTATCATATACTGAATGCAAGCAAAACTACAGAGCAAAATCACACTCCTTCTGATTGAACCAATCGATGAACTGTCTGAAACAATGGATATCCGTGGCCCCAAAAAAAATTGCGCAAACATGACTCACTCCCCTTGGGGCTAAGCCCCCCCTTTCTTTGAATCCTAGAAACGCCCCTGCTCAGGCCCATAATGCTTCAAAATACAGGGTTTCCTCCAGATGTTGGTTAGTGGTGGGAAGTGAATGTACTATCTGATCAGCCTATACATCACTATAAATGTTGAGCTGAATTAGACACACTTGTTATCAGTGTAGTGTCTGTATGATGGTATAAGCATTGCTACCTGCATTAGGACCAGTCAGTCCAGTTTCAGATCTTCTAATCCTGTTTTCAGTTTTCATACTGAGCGTAACTTCTTTGGAGACATCTTGATTGTGCCTTAAAGATTTATTATGCTACGTTTATGCTACAAACAAATTCAAGAAGAGCTTAAAAAACTGATGGAAATAATAATCTATCATTTTGGAAAAACCTCATTGTGAAAGCTTTACAGTATGTTGATGAGATGTATGGATATGAGACTTCAAATTGTGCAGATTTTCCGAAATGAATAAACACTTCATTACATATTACCCCATTAACCAAAACAGATGCTTGTGTTTACTTGTGATTCATTTATTTGTACAGGCGTGATAATGGGTGTATTAAAAGGGTAGAAGGATGTTACATATGTACGTGGCCCAGATTTTTGTTCTACGGCACTGGTCCTTGGAAACAAATTTACACAGACTTTGGGTAAAAGCCTTTTATGGCATACGTTTCGCCAATGCACAAGGTAAAAGTAATTACGGAGGTCCCCAACAAACTTTGCAGCATTGAAGCAAGCATCGTTCCTGAACGTGTCCCTAAAATCTCCACATTTTACACCAAATAAATGGAGCAACAGACAAATGAATGGAAGAAAGTTACTCTATGGTCCTTCACAGTTTTAAAAAGCTCCCACAGACAAGGTCTTTTTCTCTCTGAATATTCCGAATGCTGACTCTCCTGCCCACCCACAGTCTGTTGTGATCCACCCTGTTCTTATCTGTGGAAAATAAAGAAACAAAGCCAGTGCCTCACGTTGAGGCATGATGAAAAGCTGCAGTCTCTCAAGGACGTGAGGAGTGATTGGTGATGAAAATGGGTCGCTTTTAAAATAACCACAATATTCAGAGTCTTTCAAAGCCATGCCCTCATGTCTAATTTTGACTTAATATACTGTAATTTCTGAATGCAAGAGAAACATCAAAAATGACTTCACTATCTTTCTCAACTCTCCTTTGAACTCATTCATTTGTCCTCCTTCTCATTTTCTCTCCTTCCATCGCATCCATCCAGGCAAACAGTGTGGGAGCGAAGGGTGAATTAATAAAAGGAGTGAAAGTGGAGCACAACTCCCTCAGGTCCGCCATTTCTGGGACGCTGACACAGAGAAACACAGAGGCACACACACACCAAGTGACACCACAATCTACATGATGACCCTGACACACACAAATGTAAGGCAAAAAGCCACATGCATTCTTCTCGTGCATCACTGATGAGATGGGGAAGAGGAGACACAGAGAGAAAACAATCCATACATCACATCATCTGCATGCCAATGCCTTAGATTGGGAGGGGCATGAAGAGTGGAAGAGATTGAGGAAGAAGGAGGAAGAAGAGGAGATGGGAGGGCAAGAGCCACGTGAGGAGGGATGCATGTAGAGTGTCGCCCAAGGCAACGAAACTTACAATGGTCCCATACTCCCTGTGATTCCTCCTCTCATCTCCTCTTTTTTCCCCCCTCTCTGGTCACATTTCCTTTCATCTCCCTTTCCTTTCTTCTCTCCTCTATCTTTTGCATTTCCTTTCTTTTTAATTTAACAATGATCCCATACTCCCTTGTTCCTTCCTCTCCTCCTCTCTCCTCTCCTTCCTCCTCTCCTCGGGGTGAATAGATGTACAGTGTATTCCATGTTGAATAAAAAAAACAACCTTTTAATGACAAATTGGAGCATGATGTTTTGGGTCCTCATTAATTTAAGCAGCAAAGGGAAGTCTTGCATTGATGCTACAGTTAGACTACAGTTACAGTGTTGTCAGACAAAGCCATCAGCAGAAATCTGACAGCCTGAAGTGTTCAAAAAAAAAAGAAAACAATTGATGTAAATGTGGTGCACCAAATTCGAGTCTCTTTTCCTGCTTAAACAAAGAAGAGATTTGTATTGACAATCAGGAAGCCAGGTATTGTTTATTAATGGCTTACACTAATAAAACCTGTTACTAATTAAGCCTCCTTTAGCGAGGAATAAAAGCTTCCCTCAGGAGTT